TACTGCAGACTTTCTCATAAGTTTTAGGGCTGAAGACTTATGCTCTTGAGGCCTTATTTATGCCAAAAGTGATTTTTTTGTTGTTGTTTATTTGAAAGACAGTGCTTGAACTTTAATGATTTAAATGTAAGAAAACACTGTGAGATTTAGTGTTAGAAAAGGAAATTTTGACTCATCATTACTTGATTGGAAGATTTTAATGAAATTATGTCTTTTAAAGTAGTTTAGCATTTCATGTTTCAGAATTCTGCATGGTTACCTTGGTACTCTAGAACAGTTTGGGTTTTGTTTGTTTGTTTGTTTTGTTTTATCATTTTAGGTACAAAAAGAAAATCATGGCAGCATTCCTTATAAGGTTAACTAAATAGGGCGGGGCATTTTTAGCTCAGTGGCATAAACACCTGCCTGGCAAGCACGAGGTCCTGAGTTCGATCACCGGTATAAAAAAAAAAAAGTTAGCTAAATAGTGCTGTTGTAATGTAGTACTATACTGTATAGAATGTTAGTGCCAGGAATGTAGTGCAGGGTTGGACAGAGACAAAGATAACTTGGCATTTGAATCTTTAAGATTAGTTAATATCCATCTGCAAGTACAAGATCAATTAATAACTGCCTTTAAAATATGTTTTAAATTTCCTCAAATGAATGGGCAAGAAGTACTGAAATAAGCTGGGTGTGACAGCACACACCTGTAATCCCTGCATGTGGGAGGCTGAGGCAGAAAGATTACCATAAAGAGTTGGGGATTTAGCTCACTCAGCTAGCTTAGCTAGCAAGCTGGAACCCTGGGCTCTGTCCTTAGCATCAAAAAATCAAAATAAGTAAATAATGAAATAAAAGAAAGATCACCATGAATTTGAGACCAACCCAAGCTACATGGTGGGTTCAAGACCAGGCTGAACTACACAGTGAGGTCCTGTTTTAAACAGAAACCCAGACAAAACAAACAAACAAAAAGAATCAACCAATAAAAACAAGAAGAACAACAAAAAAGTTCTGAAATCAGATGCTGGTATCAGATCATATTTTAGGTTGAGTCTGAAGTTTTGGGGGAGGGAGGGCTGTGTTTGGTGAAAGTTAGACCTTTGTTTTTGTGGTTGCTGCTAATGAAAAGTGGAGTGAGTATGCCAGGAAACACTTCAGTGGTTCCTCAATGAGTTAACTATATGGCTCAGCAGTTCTACTCTTGGCTATATATCCATCCCCTAAATTGAAAAGCTATTTGTAGCAGAACTGTTCACAATAGTTAAAAGGTAGAAACAACCCAAATATCCTTCAGTGCATGCGTGGCTCAATAAGATGTAGCACATTCATATAATGAAATACTATTCAGCCACAAAAAGGAACTAAGTACTTATACATGCTATAATGTGGGTGAATGTTGAAAACATTATGTTACATGAAAGAAGCCAGTGACAAAAGGCCATATGTGGTTCCACTTAAATGAACCAGAATTGGCAATTCTACAAAGATATAAAGCAAATTAGTGTTTACCAACAGGGCAATGGTCTGGGGGCAGGAAGTAAAGAGAAATGGAATTTCTTTGAGCTGATGCAAGTGTTTGGAACTAGACAAAGATGGTTGTTATATATTACTGATGTCTTAAATGCTATGAATGGTAAATTTCGTGTTAGGTATATTTTACCACAATTTCAAAAAATGAGAGTGTACTAGGTTTGGCAAGACTCAGGTCTCCTGGGTGAGAACCTCACTGCAGAGACCTGCGTCATGCTGCTGCTCGAGTCAATTCTGGTGTCCTGTGGGACTAAAGGCCTTGTGAGAGATGGCATGGCTGCTCTCATGCGAAGCCATGGAAAACTCTGCTGTTTAAAACCCAAGCATACAAAAACCCAGAAGATATAAATTTTAACTGCAGTGAGGCTAGGAGAATTTAAGTTTATCCAATGAAAAGAAAAATAAACTTTTATGATCTTCTGGTGCCATAATAAGTTTAGTTAAAAGTGCGTGGAAAATTTCTAGTTCTTGCCACACATGGTTTTTTCCTTTGTCCTCGGGAGTGTGCCACTTAGCCCTCTTCACCCTGTGTTCTCCTTTGGAAAGGAAAAATCACCCCACTTTTGAATGGTCTCTATTTGTGACAATCAAAGTCATATTTGACTAATACAAAAATTCACTAAAAATATGTTTAAAAAAGAGAAACCTAAACAATAAGGGATAATGCTGCTAATGTTTTTGTATGTATCTTTCTGGGTTCGTTTTTCTTTTTTTGTTCCTCCTATGACTATATACACCTGTATGTTGAGTTTCATGGGATCATATTGCCTTTATCAACATAACAGGGACATTGTTCATACCAGGAAGTACCAATAAATGGACTATTAATGGTGGCATAGTATTTCATTCTCTGCATTGTCCTGACCCATTATTCTATGACCAATGTTGTAAAAGAACCAGGGAGGACCTTACCTTGTGGACAATTAGTCCTCTGTCAGAGATGATTGGTGACTTGGGATTTTGTAATCTACTTCCTTTTAGCTTTTTGTGCTGGATAATGATAGTCTTCAGAACAGAAGTAATGACCTGTCTCAGCATAACAGAGTACTCAAGACAGTGTCATTGGCAAAGAAAAGAAGTATATTTAGCTTATAACCTTTTATGCTAGAAATTCCAACGGTATGGTACTGGCATCTTTTCGGGTCCTTGTTGCATCATAACATGGGAGAGGGCATTATATGGCAAGACAGAGCAAGTGTGCTAGCTTGGGCCTGTCATCCTTTTTAAAGATACCAGGGACATTGTGGGAGCCCCACCTTTATGACCTCCTAATTACCTCCTAAAGATTCTATATTCAAATATCATCAGTATATGAATTTAGAGATTACGTTTCGGACACTTGAATTTAAGGGAACACATTCAGACCATAGCGTGAGCTAGGCATGGTGAGATATACTGTAATCCCAGCACTTAGAAGGCTAAAGCAATTGAAAATTCTAGGCCAGGCTGAGATATGTATCCTATCTCAAAAACAAACAAGATTCTCAAACTATAGCATTGACAGTAAAGGGAATAGATGGCCATAAAAATTCAGCTCAAAACCCACTGTTTTCGGAAGCTTTTCCTGAACCCCACTCAAACCAGTAACTTTATCATCTCTCCTAGCAGAACAGGACAGAGTAATGTAGAAGAGCATGGGCTGTGAAACCATACTGCATGGGTCACATTCTTGCTGTTACATAGGATGGTTACTCAGTGTTTCTGTGCTTCAGTGTTCTCATCTGAAAAATGAAAATAATAATGACTTCTGAGTCAGATGGGGCAATCTATGACAGGAATACCTGGCAGCATATAGCCAGTCCTCAGTAAATGATAGATGGTAGAATTTGTTACTGCTGTCACTCACTTGATTCAGCTAGCCCTCCCACCGTGTGGATTTGTGAGTTGATCCATATGCTTGGAGTGTCCAAATACGGTAAACACTCTGGAAAGTTCAGGGACCTGTGTATCTGTTACAGTATCTGTTACTGTATGAGCCCCTTGCTTATAGTACTGATAGGTGTCTGATCTGACATGCTGAAATGATGGGGTCCTCTTGGTTGAATTGGCCTTCATTTCCCAATAAAAACAACCCCAAAACTCCAACAGACAGCCCTCAAAAAGCTGGAAAGTTGAGATAGATAAAATGCAGTTCCTTTGAATAGGACAGCACCATGGCCTTTACTGCTCTAAGGAATTTCCTGACTAGGGGAACTTAGAATTCTTCAGTGATTGTGACGAAGATCACAGTTATGTGAAAGAACTAAAAGCTGTTATTCTAAAAGACCAGTCGATAGTAGAAGAGTAAATAAAATCTGAATTCCCTTCATTAATTCAGGATTCTTGGGTATTGGAGTTATTTTCAATAGGTACATTTCTTGTGAAATCTTATGTAATTACCATAACATTTTATATTTTAATTATTTTGATTTAGTTCTTCCTGATGTATGCTCCATAGTCTATAGCTTTCAGGTAGAATATATTGAAAAGAATACAGCCAATTTCTTAGACTTTGGATCCACATCATTAATATGTTGTGTTTTTTTTAGCTTTGCCAAATAATCTCAGTACCATTTATATTCTGTCTTAGTTACTTTTCTCATTGCTGAGACAAAATATCCAACACCCAAAGTTAAAGGGGGAAAGGTTTATTTAGCTCACAGTTTATAGAGGGTTCAGTTCATAATCGGCTGGTCCAAGGCAGGGTGGCACATGGCAGAAGGGCAACAGTTCATGGCAATGGAAGGCAGCAGAAGAGAGCAACAAGCCTCTTTCTGTCCCTTATATTGTATCCAGTGTACCAGGATTAGGGTGGTGCCAATCCAGTCAACAGACTGATCCAGCAATCACCAGGCTTAATCCCAGCACCCTTAATCCCATTATTCCTCTGGATTCAGCCACCTTTGAAAAAAAACCCCTATGACCACATGAGGCTTTGGTGGGGTGGGGAGTGGGGGACATCTAGACACAAACCCTAATACTTCTAAAGATTCAGATAGCTGTCCCCTACACAGCTTGTTTAACTTTTATTTTTCCTACTTGCCAATGTGTGTCAGTTTTTATTTTTCACTACAGAAACATACATGAGTGCTTTCTCCATCCCTAAAACACTTTTCTAATTTATGAATTTGTGAGTGTGTACCCTGGGAAACCAGGAACCCAATGCATTTACTATTTTGTGTAATAAAGGAAAATACTTAGTGACAGGTATTTGAAGCATTCATGGACTTCACTACTTTATTTCTAGGTTTGCAGGTTGTTGTCTGTTAGAATTCTGACTTTGGAAAAGTGCCATTTTATTTATAAACTAAAGTGCTTAAGATGTTTTATCCTAGCATTGGTGTCTTCCTACTACTAAATTAAAGAATTATGTTAAAGAATAATAATCACTTGTGCTCTACACAGTTGGTAAATGTTTTATAAAATGGAATTTGGATCTTTTTAATGGAAGAAAGGTGAAATACTCTTAGGTATTGTTTTGTGAGTGTTTCCTGTTTTCTTTACAGAAACCTGTTGTTGGATATAACCTTCAATAAACTCACAGACCAGGAGATTTTAACTATTGCACGCCACTACCGCGTACCTGAGGATATGCGTACAGATGTGAATCTCTTAATTGCACAGGCCCAACAAAAGCTCAAGAAAAATATGTTTGAGCATTTTGACAGAGTCATTTCTAGCTGCGTATATGAAGATCGAGAGAAGTAAGCTTTGTTTTATTGATTCTCATAAAATATTTAAGTACTTTAAGTACTGAGTAATGATTAAATTTATATTTTATACAACAGGACAAAAAGAAAATTGACATGTCTCTTTATACTCCACTATTTAGCCAAGGCACCTGGAATCATTAGAGGATAGGGGCAGTTTTCCCCTACAATGTTTTTATTTCTTTCTAAAAACTCTCAACTAAAACATAATAATTCAAGATGTTACAAGGTTTAATTCAAGATGTTACAAGGTTTAAGGCTTCATCTTACAATTTTTTAAGTACTAACTGGGACTTACAAATTGGCCTTTTATAATACAGAGAACAGGGAATTTACATGTAAGCTTCATATTGAATTTCTCTGAAATTATTTCTTTAAAAATAATGGAACTCTGTATAATCTGTTTCTAATACATTGATTGTGTTTATTGAGTTCATTAAATCATTGTTTTATATATATATATTGTCTTAGTCACTTTATGCTCGTCGCTGAGACAAAATACCTGAAGCCCAAAGTTGGGAAAGGAAAGGTTATTTCTTACAGTTTTTGGAGGTTTCAGTCCACACTCAGTTGGCTCCAAGACAGGCAGGCATGGCTGGGCTGCAGTTCATGGCGGCCACCCACAGCAAGCTCGAACCAGCAAAGAGCAAGACACACCTTCTTCCTGCCATTACATCACATCCTGGCTCCACCCCTATGTGGGTGGAGCACTGACACAATCAACCCAAGCACTATACAATGAGCCATCACATGAACAATGCAAACTCATGAGACCTGGGGGACACAAACATAAACCATGACATATATATATATATATGTATATATCTGAATGCAACCATTGTGATATGTTTTGGGATTTATCTAATCCATAGACCTGATATAGTGCAGAGAAATATAAATTGATTGATTTCATTTGGGATTGGTAAATACTCATTATTGCATATCATTACCATCTGTCTTCCCTGTCAGCCTTTTGTTCATCTTCAGATTCGAAGTTGGTACCTATTTGGCCCACAGCTGCCCTGAGTATCTTTGAAGGTCTAGTAATTTATCTTAAAAATAAGGAGCATCTTTTTCTTAATTCACAACATAGCCTCATTGAATTATTATATAGATGTTCTTTTTCCTTGAATCTTGAAGCTTCCTTAAGCCTCCTAGAGGATGTATGGAGTGAGCTTTGTGTGGCACTGGTCCTCTCTTCCCCATGGTGGTATCCCTTTTTTCTGGGATGGGAGTGTAATTTTCCTTGGTTAAAGGAATACCTCTGGGTAGAATGGAGCTGCTTGATCAGACAACTTGGCTTTCTTCTAGATCTGACAGGCATTCTCATTGTTAAGGAAAGAGCCAGGGTTTTTTTCCCCATTGATTCTGATTTTGTGTGGTGCATGGCGAAACACTGGCTAAGCGAGAACACCAGATAAGCATTTCTGGGGGAAATGACTGTTGGGTCTCCTCTAGAGACAACTACTCACATTTGACAAAATTGAAGGAAATGTTAAGGCCCCCTCAGCTAGTTTTCAGGTTATAAAGTTTGGGTCCAAGTAGAAGACCAGAAAAACACCCTAAAGTTATATTATACTTGTGTTGGAGGCTCTACATGTTTCTCAAATTAGGATGTGTTTTCAAATATCAAAATCATTTCTGACTGGTGGTCAAGAATGCAGATCGATTACTTAGAGCAACACTCATGGCTATTGCCTTAATAGGCAGTAACTATCACCAACCAAGAATCTGAACCTTGAAGGAAAGACCTTCCTAAGGACAGAATCTGTTGACTTCTGAAATGGAAACCGTTAGTGAAATAAAATGTTTATTTTTTCTTACTGTGAATTCCAGTACCAGTTTTTATACTTACTTCCATGACACATTTTTAAAACATACCACATTTTTAGTTTTTCTCCTATAGTGTGTAATTTTGCCAAAAGGGCACAAGGTATATAAAATCTCATTTGCTTTGTTTCATTGCAGAAAAAATGTATTACCCAATAGAGACATCAAAAGACTGTGCAAGTCCTACAGGTTTCCTTTGACTGGTGATCTTCTAGAAGAATTAATGTCCAGGTAAGTAAAAGATCCTGCATAGTTTTGAGGATTATTTGGGCTTTTACTTCAACTGTTATTTACCTTTGCCTGTTTTGATTATATCATTGGTGGCCCAGCTCCCTTTAAGTAGCGCAAAAGGAAAAGTTAGTCATGATTTTCAAATTTATAGAACCTGTTAATCATTGTTTTGTCTTTTTGACATTAATGATACATACACACGTTCCAGGGACAAAATGAAATGTACGATGTGGTATGAGGACTTAGGGTCATTAGCACAGGGCTCTACCCTGCTCAAGCATTTGATGTACAACATAGATTGTGGTGCTATAAAAGAAAAGTACAATGAATTGCTTTCTAAAACACATCACTTCTGTTGAATCTGATTTTGACATTTTGGTTTCACCATCCTAGTTATCCAGATTTTGGTCATCTTTTGTCTCCTATGGCATCATTCTACTTCCTCCTCTGACTTAACACAGCTTGATAATTCTGATATTTTTGGCTTTGTGCTAGACTTTGTAATCATTGCTTTGATGCATTACTTCATTTTCTTTTTAAAAACAATTTAGTATAGTCAGGACTATTATCTTTCCTATCTTACACATGAGGATGTTGAGGTTTAGAGAAAGATATTTTTTTTCTAAAGTCATATATTCTAGAAGAAGAGTTGTGACTTTATCCCTTACCTTTTAAATGTACCTCTTGTTTGTAATCACTTGGAGTTATTGTCTACTGATAACCAGTATATAGTGGTACTTTGGTTGATGAACTTAATTCTTTCCATGATTCTGGTGGCAAACTGAATTGGACGAGAACCGAATTAAATTTCCCGATAAGAGCAACACTGAACCCAACCATTCAGAGCAACACTGAACCCAACCATTCAGTTTGATTCAGTGTTTATCCAATTCCGTTTGAGACCAGATTATGGAATAAATTAAGTTTCTGAACTGAGGTACCACTGTGTTAGGATGTTTCACCCCTTCCTACTGCTGCATCCATTCTTTCCTCTCTATTCTCACTGTCATTATTCTTCTTCTGACATACATTTCTGACTATTGCAGGGATTCCACATTGGTATTTGTTCTACTGTAACCTACATTTTAAATCTAATGTTGCATACAGTAGTTAAGTATCTTTTAAGAACAAAAGTGTCATCATGTCATTCATATTCACAAACCTTCTGTGATGTCTCTTTCCTCTCTATAAAAAAAAGACCACACTCCTTAGTTTTGAACTATAGTGGTACCTATGAGTTCATTCCATGATTCTGGAATACATGACCATGTTTCTGTTTTTGCAGGAAAGACAACTGCAGTCATGTTTGTCAATGCAGAGTTTGCAAACAAAAACAAAATTTTACCACATGCTTCTGTTTGCGAAGCAAACTGTTTGCAAACAGAAGTTTTTATGAACCGAGGTACCCACTGTATTTCTCCCTGTCATCTGGCTTAGGATTCTTAAAAGAGTGTTCTTCTTACATAGGAGCTGTGAGACAAAGAGAGAAATAAAAGGAATATTAAAAACGAACCCCACTAGGGAGAACTAGGGTCCAAGGTGTCATGTAGGGAATCCAGAGGGATGTACATCTGGCTAGATATATGCAGTATGTGTATTGGATAAACCTTAGAATGATTTTTCTAGAGTGTCAGTTCTGTTTGTTTTGCTTTAACTCTATTTGCGCTTATTTGTATGTAGCAATATGAACAATAAATAGATCAGTCTAGTGTAAAAGACCCGGGATGAAATAACAGGCCTAGAAGTTAAGATTGTCCGTAATTAGCACATCCCCAATTCTCCCTCCACCCCTCATAGTCCAGTATAGTGGATCATCTCTCATTTCATACAAACTCTTCTTCCTTCCCACTTTTTTACTTTTTCTCTGGCTCTTTATTCTCTGTCCCTCCTTCCTTCCTTACCTTCTTCTGTCTCTCTGTCTCTGTCTCTCTATGTCTCTGTCCCTCTGCTCCTCTTCTCTCCTCTCCTCTCCTTTTCTTGTGCTAAGGATGGAACTCAGGGCCTTATGCACACTAGACAAGTGCTCTACTTCTGAGCTAAACCTCCAGGTCTTCTCTGGCTATTTTTTGAGGGGGTAGATGGGTACCCAAGAATCGACCTCAAGACCTCACACTTGCCAGGCAGCTGCTATGCCACTGAGCTACACCCCCAGACCCTGGCTATTTCTTTAATAAAAAATAGTTACCAATTTTCTTCACTTACTCAAAGGCCGCTCTTCTCTCTAGAGACATGTTGGTGCCACCTCCTGTAGCCTTGCATTTATTTGGTTGCTGATTGCAATGATTATTTCTTCAGTATTCTCACAACACTGTTGATGTTTCCCTTTTGGTCTCAGACCTTGTAATAGAGTGCTGATGTTGCCTTTCATCCATTTAGATGCAGTTACCTACTTCTAACCTGTTTGATTTACCACGTGTAAAACAATTGTCACAGGTACCCTGTCCCTTACATTCTTTGACTCCACTTACTAGCTCTGTGATCTCATATAACAGTTTTGACCTCCTTGAATCCCTTGATTTTTCTCTAAAAAGAGATAACTTACTTACTTCCCACCTGGTGCTAAGTAATGACTGGGAACTAGGAAAGAAGTTCTAGTTGAGGGCCGTAGGCCACAAATCTGACTAGAAATAAACTAGAAAAATTCTTGTTTGTTTATTTATACGTATTTATAGTACATAATGTTTCCATTCATCTTAAGTGATAACATGAGCTTAACATATCTTGATTCTTTTTATTCCCCTTCTTCTCCCCTTTCTCACCCCTCTGTCTGCCCCTGGATCACCTTCCCGTTTGTGAAATAGCTTTCTTCATGGAGGAAGCCTTGTTTTTGGAAAGTTGGATCTGAATGGTTTTCACACATTAAGCTGTCTTCTTGTCAGGAAGCTGCAGATGTTTATTAGATTATCACTTGATTGGCTTAGGGACGAGTTGTCCTGGGAAGTTCAGTAATGTGGGAGCCTGGCCTTGGAGGACCTAGAGGTTTCTGATCCAGTGTTGAGGCCACCACGTCATCATCCTCCCATTCTCAGCAGACTGTTTTGTCTTTGTCTTTATGATTTGACATTTAATGCAAAGAGACAATTCCACAATGCTTCGAAGTTGTCTCAGTCTCCAAACACATCTGTCTTCAAGCCCAGCTTAGCTTAGAGGAGGTCATCCCTCTCTTGTCGCTCAGCAGACCATGTTCAGTCTAACTTTGCTTCTAATTGTGCAGTGACCCTTCTCCACACTCAGGGGAAACTTCAGACTAATCAGATTAGAAAATGTCTCATTCCCATTCCCCTCTCTCTCCAATATGCCCTGCCATGATTTGGGTCACATGCTTGGTGTTTTGCATCATCTCCGCAGATTCCTTTCAAAGATTGCCCTAATTCCTAATGGGCCCATCAGCCTGCAGCTCACATTTATATTCTACATTCTTATTGTTCCCCACAGACTCAACAGGGCTTTATGGAGCCTTGACCAGAGTCTCTTTCTGTACAGCCCTCCTCATGGCACGCTAAGCCAGAGCCCCCTCTGACGTCTGCAGTCTCCCTCGGGGAGCCAGGCACAGAGTTTGTTGATTTTGTTCAATGCGTACTCTGCCCAGGTGAGTGGATTTACCTGCCTTGAGATGAGGCTGGGCAGCTACTGAGTGGCTGCATAAATCTTCTGTATGAATTCAGATTGTTAGATAAAAAACAGTATGGCTAACGAATTGGGATCTTTCTTTCACTGAGTGACTGTTACCCAGGCATTTTTCCTTGACGCTGTGTTTTGGTACTAAGACTTCCCCTCTATTCCATTTCTGTTGTTCTTGTAATCCAAGTAAGTCTTTACTTATCTGAGTTTTCCACAATCCAGGCTACAATCTGGACTTGAAAATGTTTTCACCTCCAGTTGCTCCAGCCCTGATCAGTTTGTGCTATGGGAAGCAGTATGAGGTCACTTTACTCCCCAAACAAATTCATTTCACAATGAACAAAACATCAGGCGTAAATGTTATACCTACGGGTGGTTATTATCCATTAATGATAGGAGTAACACTTTGTGTTGATAGAGTTCTTAGGGCCTAAAAATATTCTGTAAAAATTTGAGCATATTGAAAGGTATATTTTAATTGATCATGCTCATTATTCTTCACTTCATTAGTGTGAACACTGAAGTGTAAAGGGAGTCTCTCACTGAAAGAGCGTGTTCAAGGCCAAGGCAAATCGCAAATGCAATTAGAACTAGGATTCCCTCCCTAAGTCTTTGCTTCCATTGGTGCTCCTAGGGTGGAGATTTTGTCTCATTCACCTTTGTACCTAAAGAGACTTCTCTTGTTCTGGTGCACTATACATGAGGGAGAAAACCCTGGGCTTGGGATTAGTCTGACCTAACTCTGAAGCCCTGCTCTACTTCTTCCCAGGAATGTGGGTCTTGTACACGTTTAGTCAACCTCTCTGAGCCTCCATGTGGATGTGGATATCTCTCGGTACCAATTATTAAGAATTCCGATTCTCAGTCCACAAGAGATGGAGAGAATTCCAATGTCTTTTCATTCTGTATTTCTTTTGGGACTCAGGAGTAAAGAGATGGACTCCTCCCCTGATTGTAGCCTTATGAATCTCGACTTGGAGTAACCAGAAATTTAAGTGCAGCTTTTCTCCCAGCAGCTTTGTCCCAAGCTTGTCTTTTATAGCTGGCTTTGGGTTCCATGGAATGCTTTAGAATTAGCCTGCCAAGAGAGTTGATGCCTCATCCAGAAAGATCCGTTAAAATGGAAAAAGTTAATGGGGCTTTAAAATCATCTCATTACACTCTGCCCAGGCTTGCCTCCCTTCCCCAACCAGAGGCAAGGTTGGGCTCATGTCATTTCCCCCAGTGATACCTGGCAGTGAGGCGGAGGAGCAAGCATTAAGCCATGTGGCTGCTGTCATTGCATTTTGATGTTTAATGATGTTTTCCAGAAAGGAATACACTAGCACTCTCCTCCTCATTCTGACTCTCCTTCCCCCTTTCCCTCCTTCCTTCTTGCT